CGTGATTCTCGAGACCATGTTCGGCCGGAATCGCGATTTGGCGTATGTCAGCTCACATTATCCGCGCGTTTCCAGTCTTTTTGTGATTATAAACGTCCAAACATGTGAAATGGTGTTCGTCCCACGCATTACGGTGGGTGTCAAGGTCACCTGAAGGTCAGGTCAGGTCACTGACCTTTGATGACCTCGGTTCACTTTTTCGAATTTTACATGTTTCTAGGGTAGTTTTTCGGGCTGATTTCGAATTTGGCATCCATTTCAATATTTACGAAGTAGTTTTAGTGCCTTCGTAACATGTTACGACGCCGTCAGTGGTAGTTGACACCTACTATGGCCGGCAGGACGCCTACTGGTCGACCTGACCTGACCTGACCCGACCTGGCCTAAATGCATGAAGACATCATCTGTGATCAAAACTAACATGCAATTCGTGATCAGCACCCCGAAAAACCCCAAAACAGCTTCACTTTACGAAATTCTAGCAGGTCCCGATTTTCCCGACGTTTGGGTCATTGACCTAACCTGGAAGGTCAACCAATGATCTAAGGACCTTAAAATTGGGTATCATCGGTTTCCTCTCGTCACGGGCAGCACGCTCGTTTTTTCAGCGAAGCTCTAGCTTGATCAGGGGCCGAACAGCAGGGGGGGGGGGTCCAATCGACCCCCCCCTACACATTAGACGCTGGCAAACGCCGCACACATGCGAGTGTTAACCCGCGCCCCACTGGGGTTGCCGGCCGAACGCGCTCGACTGGGCCCAGTTTCACCAAGTGAGGTAAACTCAATTTGGGGTAAAATACCAAACTACCTGTCGCGGAGGCGCGGAAGTAGAGAGAGACTGAGCGGGCCGAGACTTGTATTCCAACTGTAGTTCTGATTCTGATTCGCCAGTGCCTGTGCGTTATATGCAGGGTGGTTGCACAATGAAGGACCGGTCCGCCGACCCGCCGGGTCGGTGGACGGTGCCGACACGTGGGGAAAGTGACGGCTATTTCTATGTAACAAAGCTTGAACGTGTACTCTCTTTATCATGATATGGAAGAAGGGAATCGGTCCCACATTATCTTCCCTCCCCCAGGGAAGCGTAGGGAACCGAAGCGATCATAACAAAGAGAGGAAACGTTTAGCTGACGGAGAAAGAAATTTCCATATGAGCGTATCACAAAATGGTATGAACAGATAAGTAAGTTTCGTGACAATTACACCTACTACCGGGCGATCCCTCCGCACTCTTGGCGGGGACCGTCCCTGGGCATCTCCATGGCCCTCGGCATCTCTGGCCGAATATCAATACAATATAATTTCAGTGAATTGACCACGATTAACGTATTTGAATGTTCATACCGACTTCAGAATATGCTCTTTTTATGCTTATTAGTGTCAAAGTGACACTGCAAAATGCAGGCAAAAATTAAGCGCATTTGCAATTTCTCCGTAAATTTTGGGGTGAGCAACCACAATGAAGCACAACAAACGACAGAACACTGACGAAAACGGATAATGAAACAGTACGGTTTTTGAAACACATCGAAGTTAAAACAAATTTCACAGCACAATTTCACTGTCACTTTTTGACGAAAATACAGCAAAAGTTCATAATGGGTGAATTTTCTTGATTTCGGTGCCAAGTTGTCTTGAATTTAGCGTTGATATTTTTTTTTTTCTTCTCTTCTCTCCTCCGATCTTGAGTCCTTCAGCGAGGTGGTGTCCATCACTCGATGATGCTGAGGAGGACGGCGCGGGCTGATGAGCCGTGCGCTGTCGGCGGGCTCCGTAGTAGTCCAGGGTAGCTGATGACCTTGCCGCAGGGCAGATAGTCTTGCTGGGCAGAGCTACTCACTGGAGACGGTGCTGCTGGACGATGACGAGTCCAGGATGGTCAGCTCCCTAGTCGATGACGTGACGTAGGGGCGATACACCGTCACGGAGCACGGACTAACCAGTCTGCGATGTCAGTGCAGATGTAGAGGCTGGGGTCCGTGTTGAGGGGCACAAGTCCCCTCGACCGCCGCTGCCACCATTGTCGCGGAGGCGCGGAAGTAGAGAGAGACTGAGCGGGCCGAGACTTGTATTCCAACTGTAGTTCTGATTCTGATTCGCCAGTGCCTGTGCGTTATATGCAGGGTGGTTGCACAATGAAGGACCGGTCCGCCGACCCGCCGGGTCGGTGGACGGTGCCGACACGTGGGGAAAGTGACGGCTATTTCTATGTAACAAAGCTTGAACGTGTACTCTCTTTATCATGATATGGAAGAAGGGAATCGGTCCCACATACCCCACTACGTAACTACAAAAATACTACCCCTAAATTGAGTTTACCACACTTGGTGAGATTGGGCCAAGTGCCCAATCTCACTAAATGCAGTAAACTCAATTTTGGGGTAGTTTGTTTGTAGTTACGTAGTGGGGTAGTTTGGTATTTTACCCCAAATTGAGTTTACCGCACTTGGTGAAACTGGGCGCTGGAGGGGGTAAATTTTACCCCCTCTCCCCCCTGTTATCTCCCGAACCAGGCGTCAAAGCGGCCGACAAGCAGGGGCGTGCCAGGATTTGCTCCAGGAGGGGGCCAAACTTACAGGGGCCCAAGGTAAACCCCCTCAAAATCCAAAAAGTCATCGGATTTCATCCACTATTTTTTGGAGGGGGCCCCGAGGGGCCCTTACGCTACTTTTATTGTGCCCCTTACCGTACTTGTGACACCGCGATGGGGGCCCTTTTGGGCTCCAGGGGGGCCATGGCCCCTATGCCCCCCCCCTTGGCTACGCCCCTGCCGACAAGATATCTTGCGCTCGCTTCGCATCGCGTTGGCCATGAATAATTAGGGAGAAAATTTGGGATCGATTGGTGTTTTTCCAGTGTCGATCAGACGTCTAGAAGCTTAGATATTCGCGAAAAAACTTGCTTTACTTGTAAATTCAGAAATTTAGTCAAATATTAGTCAAAATCGAGAAAAATGGCGTTAGTCATTCATTAGTCAGTCAAGCTTTTTGAGACGACAGATTAGTCAGTCAAAAGTCAGTCAACCAAAATTGTCATTAGTCATTAGTCAGTCATTAGTCAAAATTTTAGAAAACGTTAGTCATTTCCACCTCTAGTACCTACGCCGGCAATACTTGACCATTGCAGTGGAACACGAAACTTTGAAGTCCGGGGGAAGCCCGGGTCGACCGGGCGCTATACGGGCCGGGTCTCAGTTCTGCTAATCTCTTCCTAAACAGGCCTGCATTGGTCATCGGGAAACTCAGGGAGAATTTTCTGGAACTAGCAAGAATCATCGGGGATCACGAATTGTATCGCGATAACGAGACATGCTGAAGATAGGCGCTCAACAATAATTTTCCGACGGAGAATATCCGAGTGACAATATTTTTCCGGATGCCGAATGCACCTCAGGATTTCATGGTGCCATGTAATGTCATGAAACGGTCGTGCTTCAACAAACTCAACATTGTCCAGCTGTAACTTTATGCAAACCAGATTGTTTTCAAAATGCCTAGACCGTTTGCAAACGGCCTGGTGTCTGGAAAGTTGTCATACGGCCTAGACGGTTTGCAAACGGTCTGAAATTTCAGGCGGTTTGCATACAGCCTGGAATTTCAGCCCGTATTCAAACGGCCTGACTTTTCAGTCCGTTTGCATACTGACTGGGCTGTCCAGGCCGTTTGCAAACGGCCTGAATCGGGCCAGGCCGTTTGCAAACGGACTGAGTTTTCATACGGCCTGTAACATATACACTCGCCTACTGAGATGATGTTCGCCCCCCGACGCGACGGCCCAGCGTTTGACTGGAGCGGTAGACTGCGCCGTCTCACACCCAGCCTCAGCTGCACAGCACATCCCTCTGGCCTCAATGGTAGACTGTGCCGTCTCACACCCAGGCTCAGCGGCACAGTATATCTCTCTGGCCTCACACTCGCTAGAGACGTGTTTGACCGGGTCAGGGACGCGCCGCGCTGGTTGCCTTATCGCTCACTTATATGTGGCTAGGGGGCTGCTGCGAATCGCTGGTCTTTTTGTGTCGACTCGAGTATGTTTAACCCGGCAGTTGCTGGGGTATTTCGCCACCCACCGTTTGCTGGGGGGGGGGGGGGGCGTTAAACGCCCCCAGCCGATAACTCGAGAACCAATAGGCGCAGCGAAACGCACGAGGCAGCAAACGAAAGAACGCGACGAGACGCTTCAGATGAGTACTTTAAAGTTGAATTTTGAGGTCACAGGTCAGGTCAAGGTCAGGTCAAACACCTGAAATCGGGCTTTCAGTAGCATGGACTTCAGGACTTTGCACTGGGCGCCTCTCGTCACAAACTCTGTCAAAACGGTGCACAATCCATCATATAAGGCCTACAAGAGTGTCAGCTCCATGTAGGGGTCAGTCAAGCAAAGGTCATGGTCAAGGTCAGGTCAACCGGGTAGGCACATACCCACGAAAATAAAAACTGATATTCGCAGCCTGTGACACATGTTTTATGGGTAATTTGGGGCGTAGAACACGATGGTGACATTCATTTTATCATATGTGTACGTGTTTGGCTCAAAAAGTTCAATTTAAGAAATGCATGTATCATGGTCGTGAAGTAGTCACGAGAAATTGCCAAGATTCAGTTCAAGATTTTGGAAAATGGGGAACGATAATCAATAATCGAAGATAGCCATTTGATTGTGTATGGTATTGGCAGTCTAATGGCGTTTACGGCATGTCTGTATGTCTATTCTGTGATTTTATATGATTTTTTGAAGATATGCCGTTTTTGGTCGAAAACTCAGAAATCATGACGTCACTAAAACCTCGATATCTCAAAAAATTTCCGACCGATTTTTTTGAAACTTTAACACAATAAACTTCAATCAATTCCCTACAGGTACCCAAAATTTGGCGCGCCTACGGCGCGCCGTTTTTATGCTATGGCCCGGCGAAAAAAGTGGGGGCGTTTAACGCCCCCCCCCCCAGCAACTCGCGGGTTAACGATCAAAAGGTAGCATACTGCATAAGTACAATTTACCTCATTTTCCTCTTCGACTTGGACATCCGTAATAGCAATGCCAACTCGCACGTTAATTATTCCACCTGCAAGAGAGAAAAAAACATCTGTTACTTTACATAGACACTGACAGAGTGTACATTAGAAGGCAGACATCACCGGGATAATAAGGCATATTCGTCGTTGTGAGTAGAGGTGGCAAAATGTGGACCCGAGGACCCGGTCCAAAGAACCAGTCTGGACCCATATGAGTCCAGACCGGTTCCTGGAAATTTTCTGACGGGTCCAACCGGGTCTTACCATAAACCATACATCTTGAACACTACGACTGATTGCAAAATATGAAGTGAATGGAAAGAAAACGTGCTCATGTATGTTCCTTTCCACACTGTAGCTCATAAGTTCCCCAGTGGGAAATAGGCTGTTTTACGTGATGCAACTAATGATTTCTACAAATGCTTTGTTACGGAGCGAGCGAAGCGAGCGTAGTCTTTCCTTAGATTAACGGAAATTTCTGAGTATGAGCGGCCGGCCGGCCGGCCGGCCGTGGTCACGCTTTTGCGACGCTTATATCTCAGCAACCACTTGACCGATTTACATGCGGTAATTTTTGTAGGGTAGCTTCATTCCTTCTACCAAGTATTGGACTATTCCCGATGCATGTGAGTGACCCCTTATGCACGTGCCACGTGCAAAACGAAGAGGTGTCACTTTTTTAATAGTTGCAATATCTCGGTAACTACTGGGCCGATTGCGCTGAAAGTTGGCATGTAGGTAGGCACCCACTAGGCAATGCATATCCATGTGCCAGAGTTGGGGTGCTGCTGCACGTGCGCACGTGCAGGGGTCGTTTCCAGATCTCGAGAACGGCTGGACCGATTGCGCTCAAATTTGGTACATGGTTAGGGACCGATTAGTAGAGTGCCGTGCAAAAGTCAGTTGGGACCCATTTTGCACGTGCGCACGTGCAGGGTGCCGCTTCCAGATCTCGAGAACGGCTGGGCCGATTGTGCTCAAATTTGGCACATCGCTAGAGACCGGTTAGTAGGGTGCCGTGCACAAGTCAGTTGGGGGTACCCCCTCGCAATTTCGCACGTGCAAGGCCCACCCTCTCGCTCGCTCCGTTAGTCGCCCCAAAAGGCGTTATACTGGTATTAATTGACTTTTGGGGAAGGGGTCCAACTGGTTCCGATTCCAGCTTATACCGGGTCTGACTGGTTCCAGAAATATCCAGCCGGGTCTGGTTGAGTCTGGTTTCCAAAATTTTCACCTTTTGCTACCTCTAGTTGTGAGGCTCCTGATTTGTCGAGCATGGCTCAAACAGACACACGGGCCGCTCCCAAGTTACCGTCAGGTGGTGCTGGTGGAATGATTTTTGCGTTGTTCAGACCCAGAAAGGACCCATCGTCGCTGTCCTGTTCCTCGCTGGCAGCCGAGATCACGGCAAAAAAACTGAAAATGGAGAAACTGTGTAATAGGAGGCAACATTGCTGTCAGCTGGTGGTCAGAGGAGGAGCGCTGACGAATAATAACCATCGTCGGCAGACTGAAGGGGCACCTCCTTTGTTTTCGAGAGCTCGGAACATGCCGGCAATAGAAAGCTAAAACTTGTCATATCTGACCTTTGATTCAAGTCAAATCTCATGACACCAGCCGCATTTTCAGGTCAGGTCAGGTCATTGACCTAATATGCCAAGTGAACCTCTGCACGGTCCCAAAATGCCGTAACTTCGCAAGAACCCCAGCGCCAGCTAAAAGATTTCAAAGGAAAAGGTCATGTTGCTGACTGCTGAAAAAAAAAGTGGCGGAGGTGGCCCCCCCGCCGCGGTATATTCCCGGAATGGCGGAGGCTGTGCCAGCCGTGGTATATTCCCGGATAGGCGGAGGCTGTTCCCGCTCTGGTCTATTCCCGGAATGGTGGAGGCTGTTCCCACCCTGGTATATTCCCGGAATGGCGGAGGCTGTTCCCGCCCTGATATCTTCCGGAATGGCGGGGTTTGGTCTCGCCTTCGAGTTTCCGGGGCGGGTTGCGTATGTTCGGGTCCCGCTAACCGTGCGTGTTCACTCTTTAGTTCTTCATTCGTATACATGCAGCTGAACAGATTCATTCCAATGGAGTCTACCGTCCCGATGAGAAAATCGATCTCGGCGCTGTAGGACCTTGTACCTATGTGAGGACAAGGGTGTGGAAATCGGACATACCGCGCGGGGACAACCACCCGAGTTTTGTTCGCAAGTTGGAGACATTGTCAACTTTACTGCGACCGAAAATAATTCTAGCGGCGAGTTACGAATTCCGGACACATATTCACCAATAGGTGTTGCCGGTCGAGCTCGGTCAGCTTCTCTCACACCACGATCGGCTTCTTGCGTGAAGGCTTCCTAACAGCTTTTACCGGCGGGGCTGCGGTCAGCTCATAAGTATCACGCCGTGGGTGGTCGGTCCGGCCCCTATCGTTGGTACGATATAACAACTGTTACTGGCTGCCGCTTCCGCCGTGCGCGTTACTGTCTTTGGTGTGGCCCGTGAGCATGATCCAGCTCAGCTGGTCGGCGGTCCGCGAAGGTGTATACTTTGGGCATCTCCTCTTAGCCGGCTATTGACGCTGAGGACTGACTGCGATGCAGATACAATGTCACACCGTGTGGTTCGATGGGTGCGTTTGGTTTTGCTTTTGCCCTGTTCGCTTCAAACAGGGCTGATGTTTCCAATTGCCTTTACATCTATTCCCAATGACCACCCTGCATCTGTCCACCTCACATGATAATGTGCTTTTATTCATTCTGCTTTTGGCATAGTATGTCGGTTTACGATGCTCCCACGAGTTCCTAGTGTCGTACCGCCCTCACTGCATTTCTCAAAGTATTTCCTTCGCTAGTGCCCCTGGCGGCGATGATGGCACCGCGGGGAATACCTATCGCTGTGTATCATTGCATTTGTTTTCACTGACGTTTATGTTTACCTTTGTTTCATGGCACATCGGGCATGCCGAGAAACCCTCTACCGGTCTGCGTCGACGGCGGGCTCAGGCCGGCCCCGCCGCGCTTGGTCACAATTCGCGGACGGGGCTGGTTGCGGGGTACTGCTGCACGGAGCGGGGCGCAGCTTCGGCAATTGCCTCAGCCGCCTCCCACTACGGAGACGGTGCCTACCCAAACGGTGCTCAGCGCGCGGGTAAACAGCCGGCGTCACCTGGTCCACGAGGAGGTCGGCGGGTGCTGCTGGATGGCGGACATTGCGATGCAGCGACAAGCGCTACCTCATCGTGTCAGGCTACCGCTGCCGTTGCCGCCCCCTACGGAGCAGCTGCCGCTGCCGGAGATGCACACTGTGCCTACGCTGGCCCCGCTACCTACCTCCTCTCTGATCGCCACACCACCTCTTTGACTTCCATACCGCGACACGACACCGTCGTTCTTTCCAGCCGATTCCTCTTTCTGTGGGCGACTCGGTTGCCATCCAATAATTTGGATGGCACGGTTTCATCGTGCCATCCAAAGCTCGCAGGTTGCTCGCGTCATACCACGAGAACCCACGGCCGGAAGACACAACGATCCTAAGACGTCATGAGAGTAATGACTGAGCACCCGCGGCCGGGACCGTGCCATCCCGCCGTGTCGGGGCCCGCAGACCGTGATAGGATGTCGTATATGAGCCGCGCGCCAGGTGGAGCAGTGAGACAGTTTGATGCCGGAGTCGGGCCAGCCGGAGTGATGCCGGAGTTGGGATGCCGGAGTATCACCTAGCGGGAGCCGGAAGAGACGATCACAATCGTGTAACGCGACTCCAAGGCATGTCATGGCAGGCCTGTACTGGGCACCAGGGTACGCTCCGAGCGTTACAAACATTCTGAGAGCGAGACATAAATCCTCTACCATCATCGCGGAAGAAACCAATTAATAAGAAACAAGGAGCTCAAAACAGAACTGATTGGGCAAGTGTCACATAAAAAGCGGGCGATTTAGATGAGGATGTCGGTAAGCGACCGCAGAGGGGGAGCTGTTAGTATTGCCTACGACGCTCAACGACGATGAAACCGTGCCATCCAAATTATTGGATGGCAACCGAGTCGCCCACAGAAAGAGGAATCGGCTGGAAAGAACGACGGTGTCGTGTCGCGGTATGGAAGTCAAAGAGGTGGTGTGGCGATCAGAGAGGAGGTAGGTAGCGGGGCCAGCGTAGGCACAGTTTGCATCTCCGGCAGCGGCAGCTGCTCCGTAGGGGGCGGCAACGGCAGCGGTAGCCTGACACGATGAGGTAGCGCTTGTCGCTGCATCGCAATGTCCGCCATCCAGCAGCACCCGCCGACCTCCTCGTGGACCAGGTGACGCCGGCTGTTTACCCGCGCGCTGAGCACCGTTTGGGTAGGCACCGTCTCCGTAGTGGGAGGCGGCTGAGGCAATTGCCGAAGCTGCGCCCCGCTCCGTGCAGCAGTACCCCGCAACCAGCCCCGTCCGCGAATTGTGACCAAGCGCGGCGGGGCCGGCCTGAGCCCGCCGTCGACGCAGACCGGTAGAGGGTTTCTCGGCATGCCCGATGTGCCATGAAACAAAGGTAAACATAAACGTCAGTGAAAACAAATGCAATGATACACAGCGATAGGTATTCCCCGCGGTGCCATCATCGCCGCCAGGGGCACTAGCGAAGGAAATACTTTGAGAAATGCAGTGAGGGCGGTACGACACTAGGAACTCGTGGGAGCATCGTAAACCGACATACTATGCCAAAAGCAGAATGAATAAAAGCACATTATCATGTGAGGTGGACAGATGCAGGGTGGTCATTGGGAATAGATGTAAAGGCAATTGGAAACATCAGCCCTGTTTGAAGCGAACAGGGCAAAAGCAAAACCAAACGCACCCATCGAACCACACGGTGTGACATTGTATCTGTATCGCAGTCAGTCCTCAGCGTCAATAGCCGGCTAAGAGGAGATGCCCAAAGTATACACCTTCGCGGACCGCCGACCAGCTGAGCTGGATCATGCTCACGGGCCACACCAAAGACAGTAACGCGCACGGCGGAAGCGGCAGCCAGTAACAGTTGTTATATCGTACCAACGATAGGGGCCGGACCGACCACCCACGGCGTGATACTTATGAGCTGACCGCAGCCCCGCCGGTAAAAGCTGTTAGGAAGCCTTCACGCAAGAAGCCGATCGTGGTGTGAGAGAAGCTGACCGAGCTCGACCGGCAACACCTATTAGTGAATATGTGTCCGGAATTCGTAACTCGCCGCTAGAATTATTTTCGGTCGCAGTAAAGTTGACAATGTCTCCAACTTGCGAACAAAACTCGGGTGGTTGTCCCCGCGCGGTATGTCCGATTTCCACACCCTTGTCCTCACATAGGTACAAGGTCCTACAGCGCCGAGAACCCGAGCAACTAGCAATCCTGTTCGTCGCTAATAGCGCTATCCCCGCGAGAGACAATCCAGGCAAGCTCACCTCCTCCATCTTCCCCGTCCGCGGCTGGAAACGGGCAAGCGGCGGTTCGGCTATCGCGCTGCAGCTCGGCTGAACAGCCTGCCACCTCACCTGTCGCAGCTGCCTCCCGCCGTGAGTGAATGTGCAATGTTCTGAATGATTAGATAAGCAACCGCGGATATGGATTCTGAGCAGTAATCGCCACGCACGTTGTATGTGGATCGCTCTGAAATGTAAATACGGTGCAATACAATACAATACAATATCATCCGCACTGTATGGGCTTATCGCTGCCAACCGGCAGAGAAGAGCTCACCGCTGCTCCGCCGTAAATGTCGATTTTCTCATCGGGACGGTAGACTCCATTGGAATGAATCTGTTCAGCTGCATGTATACGAATGAAGAAATAAAGAGTGAACACGCACGGTTAGCGGGACCCGAACATACGCAACCCGCCCCGGAAACTCGAAGGCGAGACCAAACCCCGCCATTCCGGAAGATATCAAGGCGGGAACTAAAAATAAAACAAAACCGCAACGTCGAGCCGAACACATCTAAGGCATTTTCAGCGCTCTAGCACGCCTCTATCAGAAGTAAGTAGCGAAAAACTGTTAGATTCTGTTTGTGACCTGAGATGACCTCGGGGACATAACGAGGGGTCACAGATGCCATTTTCCGGGTCAGTGTGTCCATTTTACCTACATCTCGATGTTTGGTAGTGTCTAGAATATTGTTCTTGCAAAACAGACGCTTTTCAATTTTCTCCCATCGACTTATAATGGAGAAGCCGCAAAATTGACCTGACCTAAGGTCACCGATATCAAAATTCCGAGATATACATTTTATAAATAGTGTTGCTCTAATCAATCGCTGAAAGTTTCAAGGCAATCGATCAGTTGGTGTAGCTATGACGAGCATTCTTATTTTTTTCTGAGGTGAGGTCACTTGGCGTGACCTGGTGACCTGACCTAAGGCGACCTGGG